GGTTTTCCAGCTCCCTGGCTCACCTCCAATTCCGCAACAAAGCACACCTCGACCCAAAGTTTTGGTGGAGAGGGACCACTCACCATTGATATCGCTTATAACATCACACATTCACATCAGCAGTCTACGTGAGCGTTGGCAGTCGCAACTAAATGTTGATCTACATGTCTCGCGATTACTCTTGCTTCTCGAATGTAGACTGCACCAACATAAGGGAAAAAAAAAGAAAAAAAAAAAAAACCGTACGAAAATTTCTTTTCTTTGACTTATAACTTGCTCATGAAAAAAAAAAAAAAAGTTATAGGGAACCCAGGATCATCATCATAAAAGAAAAACAATACAAGTGAAGGAGAGATTTTTTGTAAGTTTTGTCAACTATCATATTTCGAGGGGTTGATGAGGATGAGGGGAGTAATATAAATGGGGGAGATGCGGGATCTTTATATTGTATATATATGTGTATGTTTATCTTTTATAAAAAACTCTGCAAGTGTTGTATTTATGTGTATGAAATGAAAGCGATTATTACGCCGGATTCAGATAATGAAGATCGGGGTGGTGGAGCATATATTGTATTTTCTTTTTTTCTTTCCCAAGGTTTATAATATATATCTAAGTATTTTCGGGGATCATCGGGTATGTTTTTTTTTGTCGGGGGGGGGGGGGGTGTCTTGTGCGATGGGATATGATGAGGAAAAGAACTGATCAGAAAGAAAACTCGTCAATATGAAAAAATCGAGACGGACAAGAAGTACACATAACAAAAAAAAAAATGAAGAAATTAACGACCCAAAAAAAAGGAAGAGTAGGAACAAGACGGGGTGTGACAATGGAGTCGAACATTTTTTTTTGTAAGATCAGTTATAAAGTTATATTTTCTTTTTCTTCCGAAGAGAAACAAAAAGAGAATAGAATCGTTAAAAAGGAATGAGGACATCGAGTCGCAAGATATTAGTTATACTCGGAGACTGAAGTTGAGCGACGATCAAAACAGAGACAAAGAATGGAGAGAGAAGAAGAAAAAAAAAACGGGGAATCGAGGTTGAGGATATGACAATGTAGGAACCGAGTTCCGCTTGTCTGTCAAGGAAAAATGGACCCTTTTGGGTGGACGCTTTTGCCTGATGAATTTGCCCAAGTCTAGGATACGCGATGAGAGCCTCCAGGGTAGAAGAGCACGACTGAGCGGTTTCCTTTTTTTTTATTTGGTTTTGGAGTAAGTAATCGAGGATTGGATTGTGCATGACAATTTTTTTTGCGCAGTGTTTATTTCTTCTAGAGAGGTCTAAACACACCAACTGAAACGTGATAGACAACGAATGGTGAAGAGATAGTTTCTCCGATTGAACTAGCCGACGATACCAAACGGTCAGTTTGAGTATTTTTTTTTCTGTTTTTCTTTTTTGTTTCTGGGAAGCGATTTTTATGACGTCAAGACAATCATTAATCGTCCATCGTCACATCCATGCTATCGCCTGAAACTTGTCCGTCAACGCTTCCACCATCCTGACTACTACTAACACAACTGCTTGTGCTACTAGTCAGCATAGGATGTCTATGTTGATGATTGTTGACGAGATTTGATAGGTTTAGCGTCGGTCCAGATGGATGTAAACCGATCGAGAGTAGTTGCAACCCGATCCCACCATGAGGACCGGTATGCTGATAATGATATCTCAGCCCGTTGATGCTAAAACAGGAATAGATACAGACCATTTCGGATTAGAGCCGGTTGATTGATGATGTCATGATGTTGCTGAGGAATCAAGGGTGACGGAAACTTACTTTTTATATCTTTTCCCACACACGGCATCATGGCAAACAAATGTTTTTGATTCATCCTCAGCACTGAGCGTTTTCTGAATCCAGGGAGAGAGTCAAACGTCAGGAGTGTTCGGTTGATAGGCGGTAAAAATCAAATTTGACTTACTTGAGAGCAGTGACCATGAGCCTTGTGGTATTTGAGCCCGTTGGGCTGTTTGTATGCCTTCTCGCAACCAGGCACCGTGCACTTGAACGGCTTCTCTCTATTCGACTCCCAATCGCGTTGGTCAGTTCCCAGCTTTCGCTTGGCGACGGGTTCGGAACGAGTTCGATTTTCGTGATGGCGATCGCTGTCGATCGAGCTCGAGCCATCCTCATCGGCATCGATCATCATCAGCAGTTGCTGATTAGGGTCGGCCGATGGATTCCGGCCCGGCTGTGATTGGCCATCCAGCAGGGAGGGAGGGATTCCAAATCCGTCTTCGATTTTCGACCAATGATTCAGCGGGCTCTTACGACGAGAGTTGGTAGACGATTGCTCTCGGGAGTTGGTTGTAGCCGACCAGTTACTGCTGCTATTACTACTGCTGTTAAGATTATCCGGAGGTGAATGACTTCGATCGAAGCCAGCCCTTCTG